GCGTGCAGTGGGAGCCGACGAGGAGGAGGAGGAGGAGGAGGAGGAGGAGGACGAGGAGGAGGAGGAGGAGGAGTGAACCAAACGCGAGTCGACAGAGCCGGTGTCTCATCCCGTGGGCCCAAGCACGGCCCCTCGAGGACGAACACGCCCGAAAGGCCTCGGGGCCGCTCCGATCTCCCGCGGCAGCCCTCCTCGGTTCGACCTACTTCTGCTCACGGTGCCCCTGAGTCTGAGGGGAGGACGACGACAAGGAGGACTCCGGAGGTCCCCGAAGCCCCGAGACGGGCCAGCAACGATAATGAAACATCGGCCCTCGACCCCCGAACATCGTACTGCGACGACACTGACGACGCTGACGACGACGGAGGAAGAGGAAGGAGGACGAAGCGGAAGAGCATGACGAGGAGGAGCAGGCCGAGAGAAGGACGTGGAGGGCGACGGGTAGAATGAAGGCAAGATGAGGAGGATGTGGAGGATGACTTCACGGAGGACCTCGACGAGAGAGGGGATGAGGATATCAACATCAAAACAAGATATACATACACTTCCAGAGGTCCGTACAGATTTCTTGGATCAGCGCTGGGCCACCCTCCCTGGCGCGCAGAGCACGCCACGGGCGGCGCCAGAGGCACAGCCAGGGGGTCCAGCGCCGATCCGAGAGAAACGCGGGGCCCCTGAAGGCTTACGTTTACGCAGTTTTTCACTAGTGTGATTGATTGTGCACGTGCTTATTCTTCCTTGTGATCTTTCGAACTCCTACTCTTCATAGTGTATTATCACTCCCGAACATTTGATGACTGGCAGAGAAGATGGAGATGATGATGATGATGATGATGCTGCTGATGCTGATGCTGATGCTGATGATAATGATGATGACCATGGTTGTGATAATAATGATGATCATGAGTATGATGATGATGATGGTGGTGATGATGATGATGCTTGTGTTGATGATGACGTTGTTGATGATGATGATGATGATGATGATGATGATGATGATGATGATGATGATGATGACGATGACGATGAGGGGGAGGAGTAGGAAGGGGAATGGCAGGACAACGAGGAAGACAAGGCGAACGGCCGCCGGGCCTGGCCGCCAGCGCAAATAATGCAGACCTTGTCTGGCCGCTTCGCGGCGTCGCCCACCGCGGCCTCAGGGAACCGTGAAGGCGGGAGAGCGCTGGTCCCTCGACGACGACGACGATCCTCCTCGTGCTTCTCAGCACCAACATCATTCCTCACCTTTCTCATCATAGGCTCCCCCCCCCGATTATCGTCGTCTTCGCCGTCGCTCCTCCTCGTCCTCATCATCATCATCATCATCATCATCATCATCCTCATCATCATCATCCTCATCCTCATCCTCATCATCATAGTCATTATTTTATCATCATCATCATCATCATCATCATCATCATCATCATCATCATCATCATCGTCATCGTCATAATCACCACCACCATCCCCACCACCACCATCAGCACCATCATACTCGTTATCAGTCTAAGCGCCATTATCGCTTACAGAATCAGCAGCAGCATCGACATCATCATCATACTCATTATCAGAATCGCCATCACTGTCGCTATCACCACGGACCACCATCATGAAATTCCTCATCATCATCAGCATCATCAAAGTGTTCTGCGTCCTCACCCTCATATGTATGATCACCATCATCACAATCATCATCATCATCATCATCATCATCATCATCATCATCACCATTAACATCATCAACATCACCATTATCATCATAATCATCATTACCATCATCCGCATCAATAACATCATCATCACCGTCAGCATCGCCGTCTGCATGACACACATTATCACCATGATCAACACGATGATCATCATCACCACCATTGTCATCACCATGATCATCATCGTCACCCTGAGCATCACCACCATCATCACCATCACCATCAAAATCATCATCAACACCACCATCACCATCACCATCATCGTCACCATCATCATCCGCGTCAACATCGTCACCGTCAACAGACTCATCATCACCGTGAGCATCACCATCACCATTTACCGTCCCCATCATCATCGTGCTGGTCAGCAAAATCATTATCAGCAGCATCATCATCATCATCAGCAGCTTCGCCATCATCATCATCATCATGAATCAGCATCGTCGTCATCATGATCGTATGTTCATCACTGTCAGCATGATCGTCACCATCACCACCATCGCCATTAGAATCATTCATCATCATCGTGATCGCTGGCGTCGTCGTCATCACCACTACCACCACCATCACCACCGCCATGATCAACGTCACTACCACCACAATCATCATCAGCATCATCAACATCATTCACCCGTATGACCATCATCATCGTCATCGTCATCGTCCTCGTCATCATCATCATAATCATCATCACCATCACCACCACCACCATCATCAGCACTACCATACTCACTATCAGTAGAATCGTCACTATCGCTCATGAACATCATCATAATCAGCAGCGGCATCGTCATCATGAGACTCATCATCATAATCGCCATCACTGTCGCCATCACCAGGGACCACCATCATGACCATCGTCATACTCCTCATCATCATCAGCATCATCATCATAATCCAACTGTTCTGCGTCCTCACCCTCATACGTATGATCAACATCATCCGGATCAGCATCATCATCATCATCAGCATCATCCTTATAATCATCAGCATCATCATCAACAACATCATCATTGCTATTATCCGCATCAGCAACATCATCATCACCGTCAGCAACATCGTCTTCATGACACACATGGTCACCATGATCAACAAGATTATCATCACAACCATCATCATCATCATCAGCAGCATCATCATCGTCACCGTGAACATCACCACCACCACCATCACCATCACCATCGTCATCAACATCAGAATCTTAATCATCATCAACATCACCATCACCGTCATCATCACCAACATCATCCACGTCAACATCATCATCGTCAACTGTATCATCATCACGGTGAGCATCACTATCACCATGTATCGTCACCATCATCGTCGTGCTGGTCAGCATAATCATTATCAACAGCAGCATCATCATCGTCATCATGCATAATCATCGTCGTCATCATGATCGTATGTTCATCATGATCAACCTGGTCATCAACATCACCACCACCGCCATTCGCATCATTCATCATCATGATCGCTGGCGTCGTCGTGATCACCACTACCCCCACCATCACCACCATCATGATCAGCATCATTACCACCACCACCGTCATCAGCAGCATCATCATCGACATCGCTCACTATTCTGACCATCATCATCAGCAGATGTAGCAACATCAGCACCAAGATCAGCATCCGCATCAACATCATCGTTCGCCTCATCCTTATCATCATTACCATCATCACCATCATCACCATCACCATCATCACCATCACCATCACCATCACCATCACCATCATCATCATCATCATCATCATCATCATCATCGTCGTCATCATCATCATCATCATCATCATCATCATCATCGTCATCGTCATCGTCATCATCATCATCATCATCATCATCATCATCACCACCACAATCGCCATGACCATCATCACCAGACATCCTCACGGCTCGCGGCGGCGGCCGCGCGGGGCGGCGGGCCGCGTGCGCCAGCGGGCCGAAGGCGACCGCGTTCAGCGCCCTGTCCTGCCACGCCGGGGCTGGCACGAGGAGGAGGGGCACTGACATCCTCGCGCCGTGAACGAATGAGCGACGATCAAAGACTGGTCTTACGCGAGATGACGCAGCGACCTTACGCGGTGGCTGACGCGAGCCGCCAGCGCGGCACACTGCAGTGGAGGCGAGGGCGCCTACGCGCGACCTCACGCGGGGAGCTTAGGCGCCAATGTCGGCGCAGGCGACCCTGTTTTTTTTGCGTCGCTCAAGTGGCGGCGGTGCTCTTGTTTGCTCCCCCCCAGTTTGAGCCCTCCAGGGGCCCTGGACCCACGAGAAAGTCGAAGACGACTCGGGAGGAACGGCTGGTCACGTGCAAAAGGTCCAGACCTCCGGGCGTCCACGAGGGAGAATGGGGAGGAGGAGGAGGAGGAGGAGGCAGGAGGAGGAGGAGGAGGAGGAGAATGGGGAGGAGGAGAGGAGGAGAATGGGGAGGAGGAGGAGGAGGAGGAGAGGAGGAGAATGGGGAGGAGGAGGAGGAGGAGGAGGAGGAGGAGGAGGCGTTTGGCTCGAACCTGGGCGTCGCAGTGCGCGCGCCTGCAGTGGTCCCCTCAGGACGGCCCAGGGCTGCGGCCCCCGAGGGGATCTCCTCCAGGGCCCCTCAGAGTGCGACGAGCAGACCGAAGGATGCAAGGACTGCGGGGACGAAGGAGGGACTGCGGGTCACTGACCTCCTCCCTCCTCTATCCTCCTCCCTACGGCTCACGATGCGGCCTATCATGTCTACGTAGGCTGAAGCCCTCGGCACATCCCAGCCGGCAGTGCTGGTGGAAGGGAAAGAACACGAAGAGGTAACGACCTCCTCCTCTTCTTCCTCCTCCTCCTGTTCGCCCATACTCTCTAGGGGTACGTGGTGACAGGGAGAACCCAACCCATAGCGACGAGAAGCCTCCCAGATGCCCCCAGAAAAGCGGAAAAAATTAGAAAACCACGATCATCGATCCGACTGCGCCTCTCCGCCTCCTCCGTCTCCTCCGCCTCTCCGCCTCCTCCTCCTCTCCGCCTCCTCCGCCTCTCCACCTCCACCTCCGCATCCGCCTCCTCCTCCTCCTCCTCCTCGTCCTCCTCCTCGTCCTCCTCCTTCTCATCATCATCATCACCACCACCATAATTATCATCATCATCATCATCATCAGCATCATCATCGTCATCATCATCATCATCATCATCATCATCATCATCATCATCATCATCATCATCATCATCATCATCATCATCAGCATCAGCATCAGCATCAGCATCATCATCCTCATCATCATCAGCCAATAATCATCATCACCATCACCATCACCACCACCACCACTGTCATCGTCATCGTCATCATCACTATCGCCACCACAAATCATCAGCAGCATCAGCATTAGCATCGCCGTCAGCATCAGCATCATCGTAATCGTCCCTTTACTCCTCCTCCTCCTCCTTCTCCTCCTCCTCCTCCTCCTCCTCGGGACATTTGCAGGGGCGCGGTTTGGCCAACGCTCCTACTGGAGCCCAGCCCGTCGACGCCTCCCAGAGCCTCCAGAACAGGCGGGAAACGCCCGAAGAGCTCATCCTACCCTTCCCCATCCTCCTTCCTCGAGCCTCCTCCGCCTCCTGGCCCCAACTTCTCTTCATGGCCCTCCCTCCCTGCTCCTCCTCCTCCTCCTCCTCCTCGCCCTCCTCCTCCTTCTCCTCCTCATCATCCTTCTCCTCCTCCTCCCTCCTCCACCTCCTCCCTCTCCCCTCCGTCCTTCTCCCTCGCTCCTCCCTCAAACTCCCTCCTTCCTCCCTCCTCCCCCTCCATCCTCGCTTCTGCTCCCTCCCTCCCTCCCCCCCCCCCGAAGCGCGACGGCGCGGCAGGCGGCGCGGGCGGGTCGCCGTCTGGCTGGTGTACAAGAGGCCCCAGTCAGAGCCTTGCACGCCGCAGGCGCGCCCCGTCTCTCTCTCTCTCTCTCTCTATTTCTCGTTTTCTGCTTATCTCTCTCTCTCTCTGTCTCTGTCCCTGTCTGTCTGTCTGTCTGTCTGCCTGCCTGTCTGTCTCTCTGTCTGTCTGATTACTTATGTCTCTCTCTCTCTCTCTCTCTCTCTCGCTTTCTCTGCCTGTCTGTTTGTCTGTCTGTCTGTCTGTCTGCCTGTCTGTGTCTGCCTAAGTGTTTGTCTGCCTGTCCATCTGCCTGCCCGCTTTTCTCTCTCTCTCTCTCTCTCTCTCTCTATATATATATATATATATATCTCTTCCTCTCTTTACAGACATGTAGATAAGTCTGTGTATATATATATATATATATCGATGTGCGTGAGTATATAGATATATAAATATATGCGTTTGAAAGAGGGAGGGAGGGAGAGGGACAGAGAAAGAGCGAGAGTGAGAGCCAAGCAGAAAGAGAAAGGGAGAGAGCTACAGAGCCATAGGGTATGGGCATACACATAAAAATAAACATGCACGCATCTACTCATCGATATACATCGACACACTCATATACATACATGTACACGTATACATATACGCACCTTCATATGTATGTTGTACATGTAGGATATGTGTATGCTTACATATAAGTATGTGTGCTTACGTGTATATATATATGTATATATGTATATGTATATATATATATCATGTGCACGTATATGTATACACATGTATCCGCCACCGTGCCTTTGGGCAAGGAATAAGCGTGCCCTCAAATGATTTGCCTAATCCTCTGAGCCTCACTCCTCGCTCCTGCGGATTCTTTCATTAAGTGACTCAGACCCCTCGCTCTCAAATCTCTCGGGGCGTCTCGCGTCTTGCCGCGTCTTGTCCCGTGACTTTTTCGGGACCACTAGGGCCCCAAGCCGGGTCAAGAGAGCCCCGAAGGCCCCCAAGACGGTCCTAGAGGGACCCAGGTCGCTGGAAGATCGTTCCAAGACGCCTAAGATGGCCTCAAGATGGCCCAAGAGGCCTCCAAGGCTCCCAAGAGGCCTCCAAGAGGACTCCGAAGAGGGCCCCAAGAGGCAACATTCTTTGATTGTCCGCAGGTTTTTGAACGACTTTGGCGCTCTCGTCGTTTCTGGTTTCCGACGCTCCAAGACGGCCCAAGAAGCCACCAACACCACCCCGTGACGGCCCAATAGCCCTCCAAGAGGTCCTCAAAACGGCCTTAAAGCGCCCCAAGGCGGTCCAAGAGACGCGCAAGACGGCCCCAACACGGCTCCAAAAGGGGCCCAAGAGGGAGCACGAACCGAACATCTGAGCATTCCGCCCCAACCCAGGAGGCCTCCAGGAGGCCCTGGGAGGCCACAAGAGGCGCCCAAGAGGCCCAAGAGGCTCAAAAAGGCTCCAAAGGGTCCAAAAAAGGCCTCCAAGAGGCTTGAAAACTGCCTCCAAGAGGCCTCCGGAAAGCCTCCCACGAGATCCCAACGAATATCCAGTAGGCTTCGTACCCACAACCCCAGGCACGATGGCAGGATGGGCCGAAGGCCATCATTAGATCCGCCGCCCCCTGTTGATTCATCACAGGGGTGCCTGGCGTGCTAGACCCTTTCGGTTTGGGTTTTGGTTCTGTTCCAAAAGAAATCCCCTTGGGGCTTCGGCCCGTCCCGCCACCGTTCCCAAGGCGATCGGAAATCTGCACAACGCCGCCTCCAAGACGTCCAAGAAGACCCAAGATGGCCTCCAAGTTCGCCCAAGACGGAGAAGATGGCCCCAAGAGAGCCCAAGATGGTCCCAAGATGCTTCCAAGACGGCCCAAAGTGCCCCCAAGATGACCAAAGATGGCCTCAAGATGGCCCAAGACGGCCCAAGAGGCCCCCAAGACGGCCCAAGAGACCTCCAAGACGTCCTCCAGGAAGGCCCGAAAGTGCCAAACTTATTGACCCTCATTGGGTTTTTGAAAGATTGTTGCATCTTTTTCTCTTCAGCTCTCCGACGGCCCAAGACGGACCAAGAGGCCCCCAACGTCGCCCCAAGAGCGCCCGAGAGTCCTCCAAGATGGCCCCATGACAGCCCAAGAGGCCCCCAGGTGGGCGCCAAGAAGGCCCCAAGACGCCCAAGATGGCCTCCAAGACGGCCCTGAGGCGCCCGAAGTCGGTTCAGAGAGGCCCCCAAGACGGCTTCCGACGGCGTCAGACGAGCCAGGAAAGCCCCAAGACGGCCAAAGAGGCCCCCAAGAAGCCCCCAAAGGCCCACAGCAGGCCCAAGGAGGCCCCCAAGAGGCCTCTAAGAGGCCTCCAGGAAGCTCCCAGCAGAAGGCTTTCCAAACCGACTCGGGAAACTCATGGTCCGATAGCTTGGCCAAGCTCTAGCCCAACTTTCGGCCACATCGGCGTTTCCGAAAAGGCAGGGGGCGGCGGTGATTCGCCGTAGGCGTCTTCGATACATAAAAACCCGCTCCTGTCCCTGCGACCTCCTCTTCGCCAGGGGGAGGGGGGGGGGGAGAAGGTGGAGGAGGAGGAGGAGGAGGAGGAGGAACAGGAACAGGAGGAGAAGGAGGAGGAGGAGGAGGAGGCGGAAGGAGGGGGGAAGAGTAAGGGGGGGAAAATGGGAGGAGGGCGGGGGAGGACGAAGAGCAGGAGGCGCAGGAGGAGGAGGAGGCGGCGGAGGAGGAGGGAGGGTGGCAGGAGGAGCCAGGAGGGAGGAGGAGGAGGGAGGGCAAAGGAGGGAGAGGGACGAGGGAGGAGGGACGAGGGATGCGGAGCAGCAAGAGGCCGCGGGGGAGGCCGCGGACGCCCGCAGGCGCAGCGCCCGGGTGTGGACCGGGGGGCGCTCGGGCGAGACCCTCCATGGGGAGGGCGGCGCCAGAACCACCAGGGCGAGATGCCAGGAGCGGTGGGGGCCTGCCCGGTGGTGTGGTCCCCCCCTTCTCGCTCGAGACATCCCCAGCCTCCGGCTCGAGGAGGCGTCGTGGACCTCCGCGCTGGAGGCGGCCCTCCTGGAGAGACCGGAGGACCGACCACAACGATGTCCAAAACGTAATGACGTTGACAGCGAGCGCCGAAACGAGGCCTAACGATCGAGACGGACGTTCCAAACGAAGCCAGCGCCAGGCAAAACGAACGACGGAACGGGGCGTTCAAAGCAACAACGAAAAACGGAACGAAACGACAACAAAACACAAAACGAACAACAAAACGAAAGGCCCAAAACTTGCTAAATAGCGTTGTGGTCGGTTCTTGGAGAGACCCTCCAGCCCCTGGCCCCTGGCGCATCCCCCTGCCCCGTCCCCAGACATGCTCGCGTCGCGACATAAATCGGGATTGGAAATGTGTGGTAATTTTCTGCCTCTGGGGGCCTCGCCGGGCCTCGCGACCGTCGAAAAATGACTCAGGATGAAACAGCCGGCCCTGGGAGAAGGGTCGGGATTTCTGGGGACCGCGCATTGACAAAAAAAAGAGGGCATCGCATGTCTGGGTCCTGCCCCCTCCCACACTTCCACCATACCTCTGCAGCTTGCAACCCTCCCATTGCCCCTCCCAGGGGCAGGCAGCTAGCATCGAAGCGCGAAATCGGATCGGATCGAATCAGGCTGCATCGGCACGGCGTCGGCATCGAAGCGGACCGGCCGCGCCAGGATGCACGACGGCGCCGCGCGATCCCCTGGCCGAACTGGATCATCGAATCGGATCGACTTGGGCCTCGGCTCCCCCGGCCCATCCCTGCCAGGAGGAGGAGGAAGAGGAGGAGGAGGAGGAGGAGGAGGAGGAGGAGGAGCCCTCCTGCCCCACCCGACGCCCCTTCCCTATCCCAGAGGGTGCCCCCCCTGCGGCTGGCCCACACTGGCCCTGCGCCTCGCGCCTTGCGCCCTCGAGACTTCAGCCACGGTCACTCGGGAGACTTCGGGCGCCCACGGAAAGCTCTCGGCGAGGCGCAGCCGTCAAAAGACCCCCCTAGGGCCTGGAACTGTCAAACAAGTCGCAAATCTGAAAGAACTCCGGAAACCCAAGGGGGAGGGGAGAGCAACATTCACCTTCGACTTGCCGAACGACCCGCGGGGGGAGGAGGAAGAGGAAGAGGAGGAGGAGGAGGAGGTGGAGGAGGAGGAGGCGGAGGAAGAGGAGGATCGAGCATAGAGGAGAAGGAGAAGGACCGAGGATCGAGGTGGACGACCCCCGAATTCATCCCGTCCTCGGGCCGCGGCGGCGGAACCCTTGCCCACGTCCCAGATCTTGACCGAAGCGTCGTGCGACACGGTGGCCACCTGGGGAGGTGGGGGAAGGGGGCCCCTGGCCAGAGCAAAACGGGCCCAGGAATGCGCCACCAGACGGGATGGAGACAACGAAAGGTATACAGACAGGTTGCTGAAATAACGAACGCTAGATAGAAAGAACGAAACCCTGTTTGGCCCCCAAAACGCCCGCCTGGACGAGGAGGGCTGGAGAAGCGGCCATGGATGGACCTGAGGAACCTCGAATCTCTTCCAAACTGAAGCTGTTCCTTACTGGAATGAGTGGGTCGGCACGTGAAATAGGAAGGTGTTGAGAGTAGATTGGGTTTCCGCCTGCCCCCTGAGGAGCACAGAAGAGGAAAGCGCCTCGGCTCTTGAGGTAGGAAGGCGCCGACAAATAGATCGGCATCGGGGAATCCAAACACATAAACTTTCAGCGACCGGTAAGCACGGGCAACACACACGCTCTGACCACGTTGTGTCCTGCTCGGCCAAGATCCTGCAACCTTGGCTGTACCCTTACTCACAGTGCGGAACGGCCCAGAGCTCGAGGATAAGGGTTGTGGTCGTGGGCCTCCAAAAGCCTCTGGTGTTCAAGCCCCGTGGCCCAAGAGATATGACCGTTCGCTCCGAAATCGGGGATACGCTTCCCTCGGAAGGACGGCGTCGACAATCGTTTCAGCGTCAATAGTTTGGTTTCCGTAGAAGGGGACACATGGGCGGGATGGCGATAGGGCAAAGGGCAGGAACCGGGAACGAGGGAGGGGAACAATAGATAATGTGTATGAAAATCAGTGACATGTGTATATATATATACATATGTATGTATGTATGTATGTATGTATGTATGTATGTATGTATGTATGTATGTATGTATGTATGCATGTATGTATGTATGTATGTATGTATGTATGTATGTGTATATATACACACACCTGTGCGTTTTATCTGTTAACAGGCGCGGAAACCAACGAATGATCGCGTGCACTGCGCATTGCAACCGAAACGGTGCAATCAATGTTGCGCACGCTAGGCTGGCGCAAATAATACCGGCGCTACATTATGCGCATTGTAATGCAAGGCGACGCAAACAATGCAAAGCAAGTCGCAGCTCATCAAAAAAGTGCCGATGCAGACGCCTGCGCATAGCAGCTCATCAAGCAAGTGTTGAAGCCGTGCCTCCGTCGCCACACAGCTCCTCAGCAGCGAAGGGCTAACGCTGGCGACGAGGCTGCCGATGCTGGCGACTCATTGGCGCAGGGCGCGCACTCGGGCAGCTCCATGATGCGCTGCAGCCTGCCGAGCTCCGTCGCCTTGGTCTGCGCGCCCGCGGAGGAGCGGCCAAACCGCAACTTCCTGATATCGACGAAGATCTTCTTCGCGTGCTTGTTCTATTCCGACTTTTTGGCCACTGCAGCGACGAACCGCTCGAGCCCCTCGGCTTTCGCCTTCCACGCGTCGCGGCCCTTCTTCAGCTTTGCGACCGCGTCCTTCGAGCGGTTGGCCTCGCGCGCGCGAGGAGCGCCAACGATTTCAGCAGCGGCGCCGGCAGCGCGAGCTTTCGGCGCCATCGGGTTTCGCCGCTGCGGGCGCGAGCAACCGTCGGCGCCCGCGACGCGCAGAACTCCCGCGCACGCGCGCGCATGAACTCAAGCCAAAACGGCTATGCCACGCGCCCCCCCCGCAAAACAAAAATACGGCAACGCGCCCAAACGGCCAATCGGCTTACTAATGATTGTACACAGATCGCAGGCGCGTTAAGTCAACCATCTGATGGCTTCTTTACAATCGGCACCTCGTGAATCCATGTCGAACGACGCAGCCGCGGACCCCTATCGCGTGGGCCCTTCCAGCCACTTAGGCCATGCATGCTCGCCACTATCGGCCAACTGGATATGGCTATGAGTCCGCGCGCGCTGTCTTCGAGAAGCTCACCGCTCGGGGAAGCACCCGCGCGAGTGGCGCCGGCGAGCTCGGCGGCGGGAACGGCAGTGAGGAACGCAACGGCATCTTCAAAGGTCTTGCATTTCGCGCAGCCGTTCGTGCCATCATCCATTGCAAATCTGGCAAGGAAGAAGCCGTTCCTCCCGTGCAAACCCTTGGGCAAGTCAGGCAATCGATCTCGCTTCTGCGGCTCATCGAAGCCCACTGCCCTCATGGCGCGCAGCACTGCGGCCAGAGCCTCAAGCTTACATGCCACATAGAGATTGCCACGCGGGTGAAGTGGCCTCAAGACCTCAATATGAACAGCGACATCGTTAGTTCCCGCGTGCGCGTGCATGATCTGAGGTTCCGCCTCAGGTCAGCCTTCTGGGCGGACGTCTCGGCGGCCTTGGCTTGCTTGGAAGGCGTTTTAAACAAACTGCACCCGCTCTGCTCCAGTTCCTGTTTGAACTCTGCTTGTTGCTGATCGCCCCGCTGGGGTAGCAAAATATTCGGGCTTTTGCTCGCGGCTACTGCCTGTTGTTCTAGTCCAGATGGGACTTCGGCGCTGCAGTGAGCCATAAGACTGTTCAATGTATATTTCGCCAGTGGGATTCGGACGAACGTCTCGCCGCCCACTGCGGCCACATCACCTGGCTTGGGAATTCGCCAAAGTGGCGTATCCCACCGAACTTAACAGTGCGAGAGGCACCTTTGTGCATGCTACAAAAAACTGCCAATGGGGCAAGAAGCCTGGGCCACCTGACCCGCCGCAGCCGATGTGCAACTGCCCCGCTGGTACGCAGCGCGCAACGCGCAGATCCAACCTCCACGCGGCAGCCAACGGCGCGAACTACAGAGCGCGCCTGCAATGGCCCCAGGGTGGCCCAAGACGAGAAGACCCCCCTCCCCCGAGGTACATATAGGGCCCACGAGCCCCCGGAGAAAACGCTAGCACATGTGTTGGTGTTGAATCCTCCTCCGCTTCAACAACACCGCCGCCGCCCCTCCGCGCCCCCCCCCCGCCCCCCTCGCTGAGCCCACCCAGGCGCGGGCAGAAATTCCCGCATCAGTTCCGGGCGGGGAGCTCTGCCAAGCGCTGGCTCCAGAAATCCGCCCTGCCCGGGCGGGAGCGACCATCGGGATAGCGCGGCGCACCGCGACATCGATTGGGGCGACCCCTGAACGGCGAAGCACGGGCTCAAGAGGGCACCATAAATCGACGATCGGGCTGCGCGCATGGCACGGCATGCGTCTACATGGGCATCGCCCCCCGTCGCGCTGATCGCACTGATTGCCCGTCTCAAGCTCGCGCGCTGCCCCGCGCCCCATCGCCGCGCTGATTTGCATCTCGGACTCGCGCGCTACCCCGCGCCCCATCGTCGCACCGATTTTGAATCCCGGCGCGCCGCGTCGCGCTGCCGAGAGGCCTCGCGCGCGCCGCCCGCGGCCGCCCCGCGGAGATCGCGCTGACAGGCGCGGCCCCCCTGCACCGAATGTCATTAAACCGTGTGCATGTATATGCATGTCTCTCTTTTTCTCTCGCGTTATCCCTCTCTCTGTCTCTTTCCATCTCTCTCTCTCTCTCTCTCTCTATTTCTCTCTCTCTCTCTCTCTCTCTCTCTCTTTTTCTCTCTCTCTCTCTCTCTCTTTTTCTCTGTCTCTCGGTCTCTCTCCTCTCTCTATATATCTCCCCTCTATCTCCCCACCCCCCCCTCTGTCGGCCTGCCCCCCCCCCCATCGCGCGCGCGCGCCTCCCCCGAGCCAGGCGAGCGCGGGGGGGGGGGGGGGGGGGGGGCGCGCAGCGGAAGTTCGCGCCGCGAGCTGGGCGAGGGGGGCGGGGGCGGGCGGGGGGGCTGGAAGCCAGAGAGCGGCGAGCTACAGGCTGAGCCCCTCAGATACAGGGCCAGAGGAGCGCCGCGTCGCGCCCGAAAAAATGCGAGCCCTCCAGCCGCCGCGCCCCCCCGCCGCACCTTCCCCCCCCCCCCATCGCCCCCGTCTCCCCGCGCGACAGTCGCTGCCCCCCGCAGCTCCGACATGGGCGTGGAAGTGGACGGGGTCGGGAGCGACGGATTCAAAATGAGTCTGCGGCGCTGCGGACTTATGGCGATTCGCGGAAACGCTGCGTCAACTGCCCAATAACCGCATAGCCGAACATGATGCCCGTTCGCACGTCATAAGCTGTCTGACATCAGAGCTTCGCACGGGCCGACGGGGCGACAGATCGGCCCCCCCTCCTCATCGGCTCGTTCCTCATCCTCATCGCCGCCCTCCTATCCACGGCGTGGCAGCATCTGAACCACAGCACTGATGCGTGCCGGGACGGTCTGAGCGTAAAGCTCGAAGTGCATGAAACGCGCGCGTTAATCAAACGCACCAGAAATATGGCATCGGCGCTGGATACGACGCTCGCGACCTCTTCTGCTTCTTGGCGCTCTCCCCGTGGATGGGCGCAGCCTTGGCCTTGGACTTCGCGCGCGCCTGGGGCTTCGCGCTCGGTCCGATGCCGGCCGCCTTAGTCATCACTGCCAGCATGACGCCACCGCGGGACACGTGGCTCGTGGCCATGTTGGCCTGCTTCTTACCGGAGGTTGTCGCGATCCACCAGGGCGCAGCCACACATGCAGTTCCATCGAACTGATTGGTTCCATCGATCTGATTGGTTCCTCGGCACGGGCATGACAGAAAACGGAAAAGTCGGGGTGCTGCCAACTGCGTGCTCGCCAAGTGAGATGCCCGATCCAGTGACCGCGTTCTTCGCGCTGATGTTGAGCAACGAAGCCACTGGGGCCAACGCGAGCTGGCCCTGCTTGATCGCGCTCGCGGTCCGAACCTCATCTGGTTTTCGTGAGAAGACTAGCTCATGCTCGCTCGCGTGTTTGGCGTCCACCTCGGGAAGAGCTCGGCGCAGCGCAACAATTTGCTTGTCGATGTCCAGCTGACGGGGGCATCGCGGATCACCCTCCATCTGCTTTGGCGGCTCGGCCTTCGAGACCGACCACTTCTCGAACAGATCGCCCAGCGTGATATCAACCTTGCGTGGATCTGCGCCGCGGCTGCAGACCTCGCGAAACTGGAGCGTCGTGCCACTGCTGAAGACCGCGCAAAGC